GCTGATGCCACTGGGGAATCCTACCCTAGTGAGGTGGGTCTCCCTCGGGAACGTCAGGCACCACGTTACATTCAGCCGCCACTCATGTGAACCCAAACATGTGAGCATAATTTGGAAAATATCATTTATACTGTGCGTCTTTGTACGTGTCTTGACATTTACAAACTGCGATAAAACCGACATGAGGGAGGAGGGAATAGAAAACAGGGCGAGTATAATTTGAGGTAATGTTTTGCTTAGTGAACAGTATTACCCAATCCTGGATGTTGGAGCACTGGGAAGGAGGTTCTGGCTCTGGGGCTGCAGAGAGGGTCTGGGTTTCATTTCTCGGCAAGTGCAAGCCAAAGGAGGGCTGCCAAGTACAGCTTTCACTCTCAACACTTCCTGCTCTTCCTACTCTGGCTCGGGAGGAGACAGGCTTCACTCAAACATCACGTCGACTTAGGCAGGGGTGGCCAGTTTATTCTCCCATTTCTCAATGGGCGTGAAAAACTCACATCTGTCACACGAATTACACCAAACACAGCCATAAATCCAACAGCAAGATGGATATTTTATTAAGCCGCAAATAATAAGACATTTGCAGGTGTTTGCATGCGTGTGTAAATATAATAACAGAGCATTTCCTATACATGTTAACAGCTTTAAATGACTCACTGTAAAATCTAAAGATCCCACAGCTCAGTGGTATAATGTTAAAAAGAGAAATAAAAGTAACACCTGCAGCAATCAACTCTAAATCAAAACAACAGTGACCCTATCCACTGCATCATTTTCATTATGGATGGTGGGATGGTGTTAGATTAACACTACCTACCGAGTGCCATCTTAATTGCCCCTCTGCAGATGCAGTGAAAACATGTCATTTAGGCACTTCATAAACAGACTTCTCTTTGCAGGTTATCAAGTCAGCCGCTCAGTGAAAACACACCCTCTTTTCCAATGCTGATGTGCAATTAAAATGGTTTTAGAAATCCTCTTTGACAGTCCAGGGCTTAGCCAAAAATGTAAATGACATTAAAGGAGACAATGAATTTAATTTTGTTTAATGTCCCCTTTCGCTGATTCTCATTTACATCACATTTCCACATAAAGGGCTGACCTTATAAATACTGGCATTTGTTCAGCTTTTGGAGGTAATCACGGTTTTGCACAAACCAGATGGGAGCGCACAAATTTTCCGATTTGTTTCTTAGAAGGCCGAGGGAACCACATGCGAGACGTTCTAAGGCTGCGGTCTTTTGTTTCTGGTAAACAACTTGACAACAAGTCAAGTGCACTCTGGGAAATGACCTCGTAGGTGTTCCACAAATGAACGATAACGCAAAGTCATTTAGAAAATACAGGCTCACTAATGAGGGACATAACAGAAAGCTAAGCAAAATCTACATTAGGCAAAAATTTAATTGCATTAACACACGAACAGGTGCGGTGAGGCCTTTATAAATGAGCTAAATGAATAAAAGCCTCCCACAGCACAACCATGTGTGCTGACCAAAAAAAAAAGAGAGAGAAAGAAAGAGACAAGGGGAAAAATAAGGGGAAAAAACAAGTCAATGTCATGAATTATTCAGTGGCTGGGCTGCACTCCAAAGGTCAGTGCTCTTTGACCTTTGTGACAGGAAGTGAAAGGGAGGGCCGTAGCCGCTGGAATAAATGAAGCTGACATGTTTAGATATGGTCCAGAATCTGTTGGTGAATGGCAGCGTAAACTCACACACCTTAAAAAAAATCCAAATTCATACACACATTTGCCGCTTGTCTGTTTCAATGCTACTTGCATAAATTGCTCGAGATCCCTGTGTAAAATGTGACCTTTGAACCCTGACAGTCAGAATGAGTCATTTTCTCTCCTCTTTCAACAACATGTGCCGTCTTATTACAAAATCCATGTGTAAGCCGGAACAATGTATCTAATCTTTCACACAAGAGAGGACAAAGTCAATATGCAAGAGAGTGAAGGCAGATACCCAACCAGAGGAGTCACCGTAAATTGAGTTATGTTTGGCTATATGTGTACTGTAAATGGGAAAACCATCTAATCAGATATTGGGTGCCTCATCACTATATTTCTAAAGACTTAAATTACCAGTTAAATCAGCCTACACTCCCACTTACTTTAAAGGACCATTAACTTATAAATGTGACAACTGTAGCACTGCTGGATTTATAAATGAGACATAGCAAAGTGTACAGCTATGCGATCATAGCAACAATGCTACAATTAGTGGCTGTTTCCTTTATTTAACAAGCACGGACTGACTTACTTTTTTTTTTTTTTTAGTTTCTGGTTTGATGTCTGAAGAAAGGAAAAAGAGTGCTCATGCTCTTAACAGTGAATCGACTTTTTTGTAGAGCAAAATACAAACTGACTTTTGCAAAAGACACTGAAACTTTAGTAGCACATATAAACCCACCCAAATGCAGCAAAAATAGGGCCTTTCTTCATCCAAAAATTAATATGAATTATGCAAGGGCATCAAATGTAAGTGCTGAAATATTTAAAGACCAAGCAGTGCTGAAACTTTGTGACAGCTGTTGGGCCTATATCTAACCAACTTTTTTTTTTTTTTTTAAGAGAATCCTTCCTCTTCAAAAATCTGAGTGAAAATCTGTATCAAAACTCTGAGAGAAAATAGGGTAAACAGATGTCTGGCTTGACCGCAGGAAAATAGGACACATTTGGAATGATAAGTTTCCCAAACTCCGTTGGATATGCCAGATCCATGGGAATGCCAGTTAATGTCTTGCTAGATGCCAGCTAGCTGTGTGCGCTTTCCCCTCTTACCATCTGGGAAAATGTTACAGAGAATGAACGCCATCAATGATTCACTCCAAATCTGTTTCTTAAGGTTCGGCCATGCTACTGTTTCTCTGGGAAATGTGGCAGTGCTAGCTGGTTTTCATACTGTAATTGTAGACAGATGAGACGTGCCTGATTCAACAATCAAACCTCTCCTCTAGGTTTATGTCACTCAACTATGTTCTACTCAATTGGAAATAATCAGTTTCTGCCAGCAGCGACCGCAGCACAGGTGCCTGTAATGATGTGCATGAGAAAATGACAGATGTAACAGAAATGGCTGTAAAACATGGAAGCTTTAACAGAAAAGCTTACCCATATGCACAGCGGGAAAAGTCAAGTAATTGCAGTAAATAAGCTTACATAGCAAGCCTACAGTGTGCTCTGGCCGTGTCCGTAACTCTTGCTAAACCCTGCAACCTTTCACAAGCACCCCTCTCTGCGAGCCTCCTTCAGTCACTGGGAACCTGTGTGGGTCTGTTAGGGTGAGCTGACGGGCTCATAGTTACGACATGGAGACAATGGGAGGGTCTAATGAGGAACATATGCTTTTGTGTTTCAACAGAGCTGCTCATTGTGCAAGGAAAGGGATACTCTACTCCTATTCAGACTCGTCACAATGAAAATCCGAGCCCTCCCTGAGCCAGTTGAGCTTACAATATCCATCCGCTTCTTTCTTCCCTGTTCTTTTTTTCCCACCCCTCTTCTTGACTTTAATTCTCCATGCATTCATTTTGCTTATTGTACTTAAGTTACATGTTTTGTCCCGCAGATTGAAGAACAATGGCGTGCGAAACTCTAAACAGTAAAAGGCAGCAGAGCAGCACAAAGCAAACATGAAAGCGGCGGAAATCAGGAGACGTAGACGTCTCAAGTTATATGTTAATGTTTGCACTATCGCTGTCACTATTGTAAGGAACAAATGCACCTGACTAATGAATTAAGAAATCCTTGCAATCCGGCGAGAAAAAAAAAGGAAAAAGCTATACTCTTACGATGCCCTAAAAAAACCCTCAATAGTTTTCTTGCATTGAGATACATTCAGCCACAGCAACAGCATGAACGACATACAAGCAGCACGCGTGTGTGTTTGAGGATGTGCATGCGTGTGTGTGGGTCTCTGTCTGTCTGCGTTTGTGTCCTTGTCTGAGTGTGCATCTGTGTTTATCTACATGTGTGTCTTTGTGAGCTTGACTTCAGACAGCAGTAGCTCTGGTAATCCATCCAGGCTCCCAGGGCAGCCAGCTCCTACTTCCTGATGCATGAGAAGCCGCTGGAGTGGAGTGGCAGCAACAACTGCTCAGCCCTATTTGATTACTAATAAGAGAGTTGTCCCCTCTGTCAGATACCAGGCATTCTCCACTAAGCAAACAGTGATTCCAGCTAGTCAAACATTAGCATTGCTGTCTCTCCCTACTACGTGGTGAGAGTTACATTGAGATCGACGCTCAAACTACACCCCCTACCTCACCTCTATAGCCACCGAACACACATAAGCACATAAGCGCGCACACCCTCGTACCACCAACCTAAACATATTCACATTGACCAAGACCTATAGTTTCACAGTGTGAGGGAAAATGTCAACACCTGGAAGAAGGCCATTTATTCTCCCACTTTATAAAGTGATGAAGGTAATATAAAAGTGGCAGATAACTAGCCTGAAGGTGCAGAACAAAACAGCAGACATAAAATGTTTATCCCTCCTAAAACAAAGCTTTAATGGCACCTAGCTCACAGCTAACTTGAACGAAGGAAACAGTCAATGAAAAACAACTATTGACAGTGTAAGCATCACTGTCATAAACAAAGAAAGGAAGCCAGCCAAATAAATGCGAAGTTGCCTAAGCTAATTAGGTGTATTCCCAGCATGATCCTCTAGTGATTGAACCACCTGTGACTGAACAAACCCTATCCAGGTGGTGACCGCCCCTCAGTGCACAGGTACTTGGGAAAGACACCCCTCAGCCACTCACACAGAGTCACCCACAGTTCCCACACTGTGGGCTGTAAGATGCAAGTCAGCCCAACTGGGCCGTCTGGTACAGCGGGAGGGGACTAATTTGTTCACTAGCTCATCCGTGTGCCTGCTCATCCACTCAGTCACTCATGCATTTAGTCAGTCTGACGCTCACTCATTCACTTACTCATTCCCTGTTCGCAAACACAGAAAAGGAAAAAGCTGCACACGGCCTACCTGTCAATGATCACTGGGTCTGAGGGAGTCTCGTTCCTGTTTCCACAGCTTTTCTTGTCACAGCATCGGCTACAAAAACATAGAAAAGTGTGTTACAGGGCAAGCGATACTTTGCACAATAAATACAAATAAATAAATAATGCACAAAAAAAAAAAACATGCATGTATTACGCGTATCTGAGTGCTTTTGATATGGGGGGTAAAAATTACCATGAGATTTCCTTCACTCAATCTATCCTTTCCATTGATGCTGATGGCTGATAAAAATGGTGAAAACAACATGTTGTGTTGTTTGGCTTAGTGTTGGAGGGGAGGGGAGTGGGGATTGGGCCAGGAGGCAGGGGAGTCACTTTTCACAGCTTCAGCTTTTGTTTACCTCTAATTGCCAAGCTGCTATTTCTGAGGGAGATGCAAGGTGCCACCCTCAACCAATATTTCTGCGGGGCATTTATCAATTATGGCCTCAAAAGCACTAATCTATCTTCCACCACATGTTTCAACCATCTCCTCCCTAAGCCTATAGCTAGCTGCCTTTCACTTCTTTGATTGGGACTGGAATAAAAAAAAAAAACAGCAAAAATAAACAAATACATCATCCCAGCTTCCATTTGAAATGAAAACATATAAACATATGTGAATAAGATTGATTTATGCCATATGGTGCAGAAAGGGAAAACAAAGATTTTGTGCAAAGCTACTGTCAGTCAAGCACACGCTATTTAAATATCCCTGATTTACATGACTTTCTAGAAGCAATAATAAAAAAGTGTTTTATGGCTGCAAAGTACTGAGAAAAAATATATAATTCAAAAACTAGTTTATTACACGGCTAAAATAAAATATGCTTTAATTAGATAATATATCAAAAGAATATTCTCATTATGTATATCTTCTTATGTGATAATAGGCAGCAGTTGTAGTAGTTGTTTTATTCAGCAGCAAAATGCACTTCCCTTTGGAAAAAAAAATATATTACCTCTCGAGCACGACCATATTCAATGTGTCACAAATAAGTGATGGATGCTTGTATAAATTGAGCGTGAGTGATGAGTTTATGCATGGAAAAAGACAAATCATTCTCAGCTCTCATGCTGCACTTGCTCTCAACCAGTAACTTGAACAATGCACCGGTGCAACAAAGGAGCGGTTAACCGACAGTATCCGAATTCAATGTTCACAAAGCTCATGCTGAGCTCAACAATAACAACAAAAGGCGTTTTTCCTTTTAGTATCAATGACACCGCTGAATAGCAGCGCAATATGAGTGGAGATTTATGTGGTTAAATGACACTAAAAGGCTTGCTGATCATTGTTGACAGGTGGGATCAACTGAGAATTGAGTACAAAAAAAAAAAAGATGCATAGCATGCAGCATTAATGCATAACAGAAGACACATTGTCCCTGGCATGCTGATATATAATTCTTAAAATATAAAAACAAACTAAAAGATTAAAAAAAACAAAACCACAACTTATGTACTTTGTCACTGAGTGTTTATTACACATTCAGTTCCCCTTCACTGGAAAAGACAGTTCATTTTCACTGTCATATTCATATCAAAGTTGAATCACATCATATCAAAGTTAGAAATGACAGCAGCTCTCTCTCGCTCTGTGGCTGCTGAAGGACCACAGGACAGTTTTGGCTCGCTGCATCACATCATGAGTGTCAAAACTTATTGAAGGGGAGGGAATTACTTTTTGCTTGAATCTGCAAAATGGACAGAGCAGGAAAATAACGCTTACCTGCACATAATTTCATGAGTAAGAAGAACTCTGCACATTTCTGGATTCTTGTCTTGACCCTCATAAACTATGGCCTTTGAAACAAAATGAGATGGAAATAAAGTGAAAACACAGCCGTCGTTTTCAACACACACATCAAGAAAACTCTTGAACTGGCAAATAATTAGGCTACTGTTTAACAAAATAAATCAGGGCATGAACACACGTGATGTTAGAGCAACACAATATAACAGATGAGACCAAATACTGAATAGGAAATGTGGTTCAAATAATCCCAGCATTCCCCTGTGCTGTAAATTATACTGATTTCTATAAACATAAATGACTGTCTAAATTTAACTATTAAAAAATGCACAAATATCAACTGCTTCTACATTTTTGTGGCAGCAATAGTAAAAATTTATATAAAAATAAAAGTAGCAATCCATATATTTAATAATAATCATAAACTGTATTTTTTATTAATCTGGATAATATGTGGCACAGACAGACAGAGGAAGAGAGAGAGGGGGGGAGACAGAGGGATTTTCATAAGGAGAGATCCAATAGAAGTGTCATCAATATGCTTATAATCTGGGGATATTTGGGGGAAAGTGTTAATGGGCAATCTGTTGTTTATTTTGAGCCGCTAACAATGATCTTTCTGTGGATAAAAAGCGGTGTCTGGCGGTACGGTTGAGTAATTTTTGAGCATTGGCTGAAACAGATGGCGTGGAGCTATCAGTTCTGCCGCTCTTCTCTCCCTCCCTCGATCCCTCCCTCCTTCTACCATTTCTAAGGATAGACACTTTACTCCCTCGTACGCTGAACCGGCACCGAGTGTAAATGCAAAGCAAAGCAACAAATTATAAAGAAAATATTGCACATAATGCCAAAAAAATCTACATATATATATATATATATATAAAAACCTGATAGGTTGCATTTAATTTTTACGTTCTGTTTGCCTAGAATGAAATTTGTATTTTTTGCCCCTGACTCTCTTTATGCCAACAGGAAAGAATGACTTTGAAAAAGTGACATATCTGAACCAGGTCGCATCACTCTCTCTCGCTTCTAAAAGCTGTCCTACTTGACCTGCTGTGGGGTTTTTTTCCTCCCCTCTCTTCTTTTTTTCGGGGGAACCAGGCGATTATCTATATTGGTTTGATTTATGTGGCTATTTGCAGCTGTAGAAACAGAAATCCATAAATTGCTTGTTCTGCGTCATTGACTCGGATCATTCGCACAGGAATGTTGTCTGTGACCAGTGGTCCAGGCTTCACGGCTCTATTCAGGAGGCTGAGGCTCTAGCTAAATCCTCTGTTTAATAATAAAACACGATATGGAGAGACGAAAGCGTGGCGTCTAATTTTATTTTCCCTAATCATAATTAAGTTCGGTAATCTAAAAAAAAACAAAAAAAAATACTCATAAGCATTTTTGGGGGTTTATTTTTACGCTATGAAAGCCATTCACGTGTTTACACCTGAGCAGAATTTTTTAAATGTCTATTTTTATAAATATAACATTTAAAGCAATTTAAAAAAAAAAAAATGTTTAGACCGTCACCTCTGACTCTTTGCAGGAAAAGTCAAATCGGATCATATGGAGCAGAGGTAGTGTTTAAATTTTAATGCTGGACAAACTGAACCTACAAAAAAAAAGACTCAACTCTGGCGAAGAGAAATTGACTTTAGGGTCTTGCAATATGATATGGTCAAACGTAAACAGTCAAAATGGAAGCTGTCTCTTCTGATTCCATCTGTAATTTGATTTTTATTTTGTGCCACAACTGCATTTTGCAAGCAGATTTTTTTTCTTTTTTTTTTTTTTAGAAAACCGAGAAGTGTGTCTATGTATCTCAGGGGTGACGATTTACACGCCATGTTAAGATTTTGTTTGGCTTTTTTTAAATGTTTTTTTCCTCCCCCACTTGTGAACCGTGGAGTTTGCACTGTGCGCAGAAACAAGTGTAACAGCAGCAGCTTACCTGCTTCGTCATGGAATCGATTAACCGTATGTAAAGATCCTGTTCTGTTCTGACGCCTGGGGAGAGAAAAAGAGGAGCACTTTTACATTTTTAAGGAATTGTGGGTAATGAATTTATGAAAATAAATAATAATAAAACCCTCAAAAAAAGAGAAAAAAGAAAAAAAAACTTTTCATTAAAATCTAAGAGTTCAGATAGTGATTATAATTTTATAATATTATTATTATTATTATTATTATTATTATTATTATTATTACATGTGGTTTTACGCACACAGACAAACTCACTGATAGATTTTCACATGTTTTTAAAAATATTAAAGACAGTTTCACTCACCGTTACTGTACAATAACTGTAGTTTGTAATGTATCCCATTGTTAGTTTTTTCACTGGTTGGTTCCTGCAGAAAACAACAGTTTGTGAAAATCAGCAATCAGAAAAACAACTGCCCATCACCACCACATGTCTATGCGTTTAAAAATAAATTCAGAGTTTTGGTGCTAAAGAAGAGAAACGGCTTTAGATGCTAAAATGACCCTCTGTCATCAAGGAATTGAATTTTTCCTTTTTTCCTTTTTTTTCTTTTTAAAGAAAATCAATATTACACGTGACTTCCCCTTAGTAACCCATTGCCCATTTCTGAGTACATAATTTCGATACATGTGCTGATTATGTAGAGAGGTGCATGTATTCTAAAATACACCGCTTACTTTTTCTTTCTCCACAAAGTCCACAAAAGCTGTCCTTTCGATCTCCACGGGCTGACCCTGTCTGTCATACAGCGCCAGGACGAAATGGAAAAAATTGGATTTTCTGAGGTTGGAAGGGGGCTGCTTTTCATAATGTGCCCGTGCCAAGCCGACACCGCTGCGGGGAGAAAACAAGAGACCATCTCGGTTAAGCACCGGACACCGGGGATACTAGATGATGGAGAAGCTGATGGAAACATTGGAGATGCAGAAGCACGCTTGAGTACGGGGGAGATTTCTTGATTTGTCACAATAATGGGTAATCTGATGTAATGAAAGAAGGGAAAGCCGAAGGGGGGGCATTTATTGGGAGACCGTAATTGATACAGAGTATTCAGGGGATTGAGGGGTCGATATGATGAGGAGGGAATGCGTGAGAAAAATCAGATGCTTTTTGGCATGCGTACCTTTGGGCGGCTGTGTTTGCATCCACCACCCCAGCTGTGTGCATCCAGGAGCGGACCGAGTTCAGTCCACCCAGCGGTTCCTCCTTCATCGTCGTCCCACCCCGCGGTATAGTTTCCTGAATCCCAAACATTTAGGACAATTTGCGTGAAAAAGAGCCTCCTGCGAAATTAGGCAAATAAACGTCCAAGCGTGTTATCCTTCAGGGTTTTTTTTTTCACGGGATAAGTAGCGAGAGCCGATTCAGACTTGCGAGGGAAAACCCGGTCCACAGGTCTTGCCTCCCTCTTCAGTCCGTCCGATGTGAACAATTCTCAAAGTGCTGTACTTAGTTAGAGCGGTATCCACAGACTGGAAAAGTGAATTGTTCAATAGACAAGATTTTTTTGTGTTGCTATTGTTCCTCTGTTTTTTTTTTCTTTTTCTTTTTTTTTTTGTGCTATTCACAGAAAAATCGATGGCAGTTGTTTGTGTTTGTGGGTGATGCTGCTCTCAAAGTGCCCACATCCCTGAAGCACCGCATCCAAAACCTTCAGGACTTCTTGTTGAATAAAAAACCCACTCCTGAAAAGGTGCTGCTGCTTCTCCACAAGACAAACACAGGCAAAGGCTGATCACCAGTGGAGGTGTTCCTAGTACACAGGAGAGGTGGATAAGGGGCCCTTTCGCGTCGTGCAGGATGGATGGGAACATGCAAAACTAAGCCCTCTTTCCCCGAGGACTGAAATCTTTCCCGGGAGCCAAAACTCTAAACCCACGGGAGAGGCGCTGTCAGAATATGACGCTGAAGGGGCGTGGTTTTGACCATATATGGAGCTCTGACGGTTCCTGTCAGGCAGTGGCGCTCCACTGTACGGGTACAGCCCTATAGTGCAGCAGCTTGAGAACACTCATTCGCTCCACTTTTCCTCTTGCTTAGGCCCTATATGTGGTGAGTTTGATTTTTTTAATGATATGGAAAATTCAACCGGGTGTAACCATCACACATAATGAGGAGGAAAATAATAATAATAATAAAATAATCATAATAATAATACATAACAATTATTCGGAATTCAGTGCTTATTATTTTTAGCTGGCCTACCGATTGCAATTTCCGTGATTAGTTTTATTATAATGGATTAAAATTAATAGCATTTCATATATTTATTCGATTAAATTTGTTAACACCATTACAAATTGACTTGATGAGACTGTTTGTTCACTGACGTATCGAAAGCATCTCAGTGTCTGTGAGATTAAAGGCCATAAATCATATTTCAATAAGAGCAGATTATGTTTCTTCATAAAATTGATATATATTCTATTTCGTATTGTGATCGCGTGCTGTGGGTTATGTTATTGTAATTAAGGTGTAATTAACACAACGCGGAAATCATAAAATCACACATGATTATAAATATTTTAATTTACATTAACTTTTCATTGATCATTTTTTTTAACAACAGGTATTTGACTCATTTGTTTCGCTGGGGCAGTCGGGCAGGGTTTTGTTTTTTTTTATGTTTTAGTTTTTGCGCACAAAATCCAAAAAAGGGAGCAAAGTTTGGAAATCAGACGGAGTTTTTCAGCATCTTTGTTATTAATGTCAAAACAAATCAGTCACATCGCGGTGCCATTTACTGCAGATAAAGTCAGGTCTTTTGACCTCTTTTATAGATTAAAAATCAGAGTCGGTGTCTCATGACATTAAACAAACTTCGGGAAATCCATGGTTCTATGTCTTCCGCATTTAATGCACGCCATGTACCTAATAATCAGAAACATCTTAATCATTTTTAAAGAGCCAACTGCCTACATGTCCGACTCCGTCCGAGAGGGACAAGCAAGCAATTCGGTTCATTAGTGGTGAAAGGGGGGAGAGGATGAAGGAGAGAGGGGAGGGTGCGAGGAAGAGAGATGTGTGCTATATCCTGAGCAATCTATCTAGCTGGTGCAGAGGGTTAATAGCTGCTGCCAAAGATAAGTGAATTATAAGCTGTTGCTTTCACCTCTACACAATCTATTGCCAAATTGCCCAGTTACAAAACCAGGTTGTAGATTTTTTTTTAAACTTTTTATTTTTGTTTTTATTTTTTATTTTTTTTAGAGAACTCAAAGTTTAAATTTGTGGGGAGGGGAGGATATGAGAATGAAATCAAATGGGTGCTCTTTGTTAATTGTATTTTTCCCCCTTAGATGAAACAAATCGAGACGCGTGCTGCAAATGTTTTGTCTGTTCTACCGAGATTGCAAATATCTTTTTTGCACAGAACTCACTGTGCTTTTTGCACAGTTTCAAGTCGCTTATTAGAACTTAACCCCTGATTACACGCACCGAGGCGATTTAAATCTGATTATCAAATTAGGAGACTTTGAGACAAATCCTCTTAGATCTGATACTGTTGACTGGAGAGGGAAAATGGATCTCCACACCCGTCACGTAGGTAACGATGCTGTCCTGAAAGGGAGTTTTAAACCGTATTTGACAACAAATGCAGCTGCCCCGCTATTTCAGAAGATATTAAAGGAAAATGAATGCAAATCTGTGTGCAGGAGCCATCTGGACGTGGAGAGAGGGAGTCAGCTGCTCCACACACTGAGGCGCGGAGCCTGAATCCGTCTCAGCTCATTCTGTGGGATCATCTGCGTGGTGGGCTTACACCGTGGAAAATGCGCTCTCCATCATTAGGTGAAATGTTAGCATCAAAATAAAAGAAATGTTGATCCCCGTTTGTTTTAGTGGTTGCATGCATGAAAACTTTGCACGGGCGTGGAATTAGACCATCTCAGTCACATTTTCTTTTTATTACCCACCCCCTCCCCCACTCTCCTTAAGAGATTTTTTTTAAATCCACTTTTTTCAACAGCGTGCTAGAGGTAAGTGATGGGTGACAGAGAAGGGGAAACAATTGCAAACTATTTCATCTTGGCCGCATTAAGCCAGCCTGAATGCTCGTATAAATGACCGGCTGATAACACGGGGGCCCTGTTATCTCACTCTTTCTATTCAGTGATCACAATGAGTGAACCCCCAAAGATTTGGACCTGACCACTGATATAAAACCAAACTCCTCGGGACGCGTGGTTTCCACTCAAAAAAAATGTTACAGGGTGACTTTAGAAGACCTCCCGTCTCGACGGGACGAGGGTGACGTCTTCTTTTTTGTGTGCGTGTGTCTATGTGTGTGTGTGTGTGAATTTACGGGGCGAGGCCCTCATGATCTCCTTAAATTTGCATGTAAATGGCGACATCAGCCTATACGCGTGCCAGGGGCCAGCGGGCCTCCCAGATGTCAAGGCAAAGTCAATCAGCCGGCCGCTGCCCAGCTGTCCATCGATGCACTTTATTGGGACAACACTTTCATTATGCTCACCTGCATTGTTTCCTAATGGATTGATTGGTAAAAAGCGAAGTGAAGGAAATTTTATTAGCACCCACCAAGCAAGTTTCCTCACGGCTTTATCGCAGAGGTTGTTTTAAAGTGATCTTTTTCCCCCTTCTCCTTCTTCTTCTTTTTTTCGATTAAATATTTATCAAGTACGCCCACAGTTAGGCATTATTCCAAATTCCATACGGAACAAATAGGCAATCAGCCCACTTACTGTTTACAGCTAACATCGCCTGTTCCGTTGTTTAGAGCTACAATATTTTGTGAAAATATTTGAAGTTGAAATTTAAGTTACACCGCGCAAAGAAAACTAATTTAGGGAGCTTCAGCCTACAGCCTTTGTTTAAAATTTCTGTCACTTGTAGCTGAATTAGAAAAGATTAACTCCAGCTGATGCTTGTGCGTTGACAATTTTCTCATGAGTAGGGAGGAAAAAAATACACATCACTTATATCAGTTTCCCCCATCAGTTTTAATTAAATTACCAAATAGCTTGATTCCGCATCACATATATATATAAAAAAAAAACCTTCAGTGCAAACTTTAGTTATTACAACTTATCGGCCTAATAAATGCACGCCTAAAATTCGATATCTCATATTAAAACATGGTTTTCACGATATTTTTTAATTATTGTAGTTAGAAAAAAAATCAAACGGCCAAGAGTGATGAGATCAATCATGAAGGCTGTTCGTGTCAAGTTGGAGCTAATAGACGGACAGCGCCCCTCGTTGGTTACACTTGAGATCATGGAGTCGATATGAGGCAGCTGTGTTGTTCAGTGACAAGATAGCAAAATCTCAAGTTTGGTTTATATGTAACTGCTTCCCCACTGCCCCACGAGCTACATTTTCTTTTTTCAAATTCAGGTACTATTTTAAAAAGCAACAGAATTATTTTTAAAATAATAAAAAAAAAATTTTTATTTTTCTTTGTCATCTCGCACACTAGAATAAGAAAAAATAACAGATATTTGAAGGGCTAAAAAAATTAAGGAAAGAACGTTTTTTATGTATTATTATTATTATTATTATTATTATTATTATTATTATTATTATTATTATTATTTCTGATGTGTTTATTGTGTGTCTGAAATAAACATTATTTGACAATGTGCTGGTGTGACCTCACGTTTCGTCACTAACTTCTGTCAGAGTGTTCATGTTAATTGTGTGCAGTGGTGAGTTCTGTCAAGGGCATTGCCCGTGCGCACAATTTGCATTTCCATTCTGCTGTGGAAATGATGAGAGAGTTTCTGCGCGGTTTAGAGCCTCGCGGCGCAGTCTGTGGGCGAATTACATTTAAAGAAGGCGAGAGAAATTAAATAAGAAACCGAGACCACTTCAGGGCTATTAACATCTAAAATATCCCCTGGAAATTTAGACCAAAATACACATGACCAAATACCCAGGATACCTTCGCTCTTAACACAGCCCTGGTCTTGATTGTGTCCATCACTGTTTTGTAGGCCTATCTAAAATTCTTTATTTAAAAAAAAAAAGTTATCACGCCGCCTCACATTTCTCAGTGGCGATGATGGAAGTGAGGCAAATTTGATTATTCAGCTCTAAATCGGAACATATTAACTTAATATATAGGCGCCCTACTGCCAAACAGACTGTGACACTCAGAAAAATGGGTGCAAAAATCCGACTTTAAAGGTCAGTTTAAAAAAAAAAAACCCTCATCAGTAAGTATGATGTGGGCACATGTTGCATCGGGGAAAGTGGCCTCCAAAAGAGGAGGCATCAGCTTTAACCTTGTTCCTTTTTTTTCTTATTTTTTTTAGAGCGCCTGTGCATGCATGACCAAAGAGGCAGCAGCCTTTCCCTCAGTACTCCAGAGACCTTTAATTTGCCTGTTGACCCCAGGATGGAGGTGTTGCCAACTCACAGTGATACTACCTCACCCACAAGAGACTAATAATTCTCAAGTTACTTACATCAAAATATATATTTTCAACATGTTGCATCAGTGCCTCTAATTCGTTTTTCTCCTTTAGGGGCTGCCATTATAAAGGAGATACATATTTGATGGCAACTGGCAAGTCTACAAATGCATTTTGATTTTAGTCAGATTATTAATATCGGACTGTGTTACTATTAACAGAAATGTTAATTATGATGTCAAGACAGAGGGAGTCAAGGTGAAAGCTGCACAGCAATAGCTAAAAATAATCCATGCCAGCCAGAGTACAGTATGATCCTGCAGAGGAGTGTTACTGGCAAGGGACCTTTTTGCTGCAACAAAGAGGTGGAAAAGAGGAAGTAAATGAATTAGAGTACAAGCCAGATTTTGTCTTTGTTTCATCCACACTTGTCCTGTCCCTATTTTCCAACCTCTCCCTTTTCCTTGCTATTGGAAGTGCTGCAAATTGTATAATGCTGGTCTTTGTTCTACAGAGTCAAGCCACATGAATAGCCGTCCTGAGCACACACAAAAACACACTGACAAACTGATCATCTTAAAAAAGCAACGCCCTGGTGCTCACTTGGCCTACTTTCCACGGCAGCACTGGGACGTGGGAAGAGGAATAGAATTCAGGGGAGGATGTTCTTGCACTCTGGGAAACATTCAGTATAGCAAGTGTGATGCACATAAACATAGCCTTTGCATTGTCAACCTTAGACCGTATTTGCCCCAGATAACTAGTCCCCATGTGCTAGACTATTCTCTTTGACTTTGCAATTGAAATCCTGAGAAGATTATGCCAAAGCTAAAAGAGGCAAACTCTGGGGTGGGATTTCAATTGTCAATTCCTGTTGGATTTTATAGCATTATGACATATAGTACACCATCTGTTACGCTTCCCGTGACTAGGTCTACATCTGCACAAGTGGAGCTTATTGATGTGAACATCAGTACAACTAAGACCTGGTTTTTGAATGGACAGCAATTTTCAATCACCGATATTTTTCTCCTGAATCCCGTTTAACACAGATGTATGACTAAGTAGCGGGGTCTCTAGCTTACAAAACACCAGAGCAAATTAAAAAGGTGCAGGAAAGTAACCACTCCTAACTTTAGCTAAACAGACTTCCTGGAGCGCTAGATAATCTGGGGCTTCTATGTACACCGCCTAACCAAATGTCGACATCTGTGAGGGTGTGCATAAAGAAAAGCTCCTCAGAGAAACGGGGGATAATAATCTTAGTTCCCCTCACCTTCAGCTTGCCCATAGGGGTTTAAAAGGGAGATGAAGAAATCCTATGTAAACATGCCAAGTCAAATTTTCACTTGAAATGTGACATAAAGGCAAAGGGCAACCTTGGTGCATCGCTAATGTGCTTCCACGCATGAGTTTTCCAGTGCCCCTGGATGTAAACAATTGATGTATTCAGTCTGTGGTTTGAACACTGACTCACTGTGCACACTTAATATGTTTGAGCATCTTCTTAGCCATCACTGTACATTTAGTGCATAGGTGAAGAGCCCAAAAGAAGTCAACACAAAGCCTGTACACAATCAGAATCTCTGTACTCAATAGCTGCATGAAAGTGAGTTTTGCTCTCCTGAGAAACATACAAAGTTTGAGCATCTGTTCCATCATGTAGTCTTTGTTGAGAAATTAAATATTGAACTGATCTAGTGTACCATGAATGTTTCACTCACATAGTGATTAGACAGACTGGAGAGGCAAGACATCGCAGCACTTTACTCTCTACTTTCATATACTGTATTTGTTGGTCTTGCCTTTAAGTGTTTCACGCGCCAGATTGTGTTGTTGTTATGGAAAATGTTTTTTAATGTTGCGTCAATTATACTTAGCATGCATGTGTAACTCGACACAAAAGTAAATTCATATGCATGCTACGTATGTGCACAAACGCAATCATCCTCAGTCTGATAATTGCTGTATAGTGTAGTCCAGCTGAAGCAATATAATTGGAAAAAAGAGAAAAACATAAATTAGAGTTTTGGTTTTATGATTCAATTATGAACTTGGCAGCATCTGTTTTTTCATACTTTTATGTTATTGTGAATATGGAGAAAATACTGATTGGTTTTCTTGTCGCATCTCAGAATAAAGGGCGTCTCTTTTATAGTTTCTCATCCCTTACTCCAAATCAACAATTGTCTCTCGGGAGAGTCCCAAATGATGTTTCCTGACATAAACATTTTGGATTATAATGGGCAGACCAAGCCAACGTGCAAGCAGGAGAAGGAAACAGTATCATCACAGAGATCATAAAATGGTGTCGTGAGTAGTCTTTTGTCCAGGACCATAGGAGAGTTCTGTTGCTAAAGGGAAGGACAAAAGCAGAAGGCGCCACGGGTATAAGGTTCCCCTGAGCAACAATACTGAAAGTTTCAACTTGCAGCACATGGGTGTAACTTTAACTGGAATACTGTGGATCAAAGACTCACAAACAAAGTGGGTGGAAATGCTGAAGGAGTGTCTGTGCTCAAGTGAAGGACAGGTTCACTAGAGAGAAAGCGGGAGCGACAATTTCTAAAACACAGACCAGGCAATCAAGGCTAATTACTGAGCCCGTGTTTTGTGAACTCAAAGGGCAGCATGATTCAATTAACAAAACCGATGTGTATTATAATTCTGAAAAGCAAAATTACCTCTGTCGACAACACGCTTATCAGATATAAAACAAAAGCAAATTCAAATTAAACTGAACAGTTTTAAATGTGTTTCTGCTTCGTGCGCTTTAATAAGGAAGAGTGCACACAGTCGATTTTGTATTGCATCTCAAACATTCATTCCGCACTCTTGTCTTCACCTGTCAGCTTTTAGAGAGTGGGAGAATTATTCAGTTCTGCTTCTTTAAATAAAAAACACAGCCTTGAAATTTGTGAGGCTTAAGGCAATTCATCAGGTTAGATCAGTACAATGTGGATGTGTAACCTTTACACTGCACTGGAACCTGCACATACAAGTGTTATGAAAGGTCCCCGTGGCACTCTGCTCTTCTGACATGGATTTGAAGACTTGCCACTTTATTAGCTGCTAAGCCCCCACTACTTGTTCTATATAGTGGAGGCCTATGTTATGAGCTGGGATCTCATTGTCTAGCGTTATTAGAGGTAGAGTCTGCAGCGCTCTCTTGTCTCCCCTCGAGAGTAGCCTGACTATTTGAAAGGAAGCTACAAGTGCAATTTAACCCATCTTATTTACAATACGATCTCTTACAAGGACATCATCGCAGCAAGGATTCACATATAATACATCTCTACAATGTGCTTCTTTCCTGTTTTGATTGTTTCAGGAGAGTTGTTTGACGCTCAATTGAGCCCTAAGAAGAAAAAAAATCTCTGAATGTGTCAAGTTAGAGCAGACACAAACTTTAGTCAACAACACTAGTCCGGTTTTGTATTTTTCAAAAATACTTCACATAAGATTTATGCACAACAACAAGTGTTTTCTGCTTAAAGGTCAAAAGAGTTAATAAATAAAAAAGAGTGGGTATGGGGTTCTTAATGATAGCATTAACATCGTGTCTGGGAAAACAAGCTGTTTGTGATCATCACTTTTGTCACCAACGCACACGCACACACACCCCCTCCAAAATGGAAATGATCTGTTGGCACTGAATAATAAGTGCCATAGTGCCATCTAGTGCACAAATTTGCACACTGAAGAATGACAGTCCCTGTATGTAAAACATACACTACATACTGCAGCGTACATGCAAAGGTACAGGGCTTAAGGGCTACTTGTGATTATGATAAAGGATGGTGTACTGTTTTCACTGATCGCTTGTGTGCTTCAGTGTGAGTTTCAGCTACACTAAATGACCACACTGAAAATTTCCACTCATAGGGGAAATAAACAAGGAGACAAAGGTTTGTCTTAGAAGCCAGGTCTTTGACAACCCGCGGCTGTGGCAAGCCGCAAGGATAATCTCCTTCAGACAATGAGACGATGTTGAAGGCTGTGCATGCAAATTATACTCTGCCATCTAAATTACAAAGACATACACAGACCTCAAGTCATCAGGCCTCATATCTCACTCATCTGGCCTCCTGGCTGTTAGGTTGCCAGAGGATACTATAGAGACAACAGAACAGAAATAATAAGAAAAAACACATGAGCCAAAACAAGAGTCTTGAATAATTGATTGTGTTTGTCTTTTGCTGTTTGTGTGTGAGAGTGTGTGTTTGAGTGAGAGCGAGAGTGTGTGTGTGTTAGGACTCAGGGTCTGGACAGAGCTTATGCCCCTGAGCAGAGCAGACACATCCACTGGCCAATGGTTTGTGTTAAAAACTGTCTGATTGACCAAATGTGGGGGAAGGGTATGTTTGTGCGTGCCGGGCAAAAATGAATGTGCATGGGTATTTATGTTCATGACTGTGTGTGTAAATTCAAAGAGAAATAGGTGAGGATAGTAGCTGCGATGTGTGTGATTTTTGGCAAACTAAACCTGGGCATGATTAGCTCATGTTGAAATCAGCGCTGGTTTTGTATTCAGTAACATGGGAATAAGATGAAGTAAAGATTTCCAGGATAACAAACGCTTTTTGTTAAACGGGCCAGGAATAGGTGTGTTGTAAGATGTTAAAAAGTCAATATACCTTCATTTTGTCTGTGCTGGTAATGAGCCATATTTTCTGGGGAAAATGGCTGCTTCTCCGGAGGCACCATGTCTACTGAATGTGGCCCTGATCCTGGATAAAACAGAAGGCTCACCAATCAATCTCTCCAGGTTGCCCACAGCCAGAGAAAGCAGCTGCACCACATGTTTGCCTTGCGCGATAGCGACAAGTTAACATACGGGCAGCACAGTAACCATCCACAAGCAGCCTCTAGCTGTCTTATAATGAATTCCCACAGGGATGGGGAACTATCAGAGTCAGTGGTGTTACTGGAGGCTCGGAATAAAGTCAACACCTCTCCTTATACCTGATGAAGCTACGGCACGGCAGCACACTCACACACATAGTCACAGCCACAACGCTCGACTCGTACAAACGTGAACATTTCGAATGCACACAACGATTAAGCTGTACAGTTTATTAAATCATAAATTAGGCTGCATTCGGGCATTACATGTTCACGCAATGATGGTGAACAGAAACTGCTTGCTTTTAATAATGCAGTCTTATCGGGACAGCAGTTTTGTTTAATTCAATGTATAACACGTTATAAAGAGACATTTTAAATTAACGAAAAATCGCCATTCAGCATTTTCTTTAATTTTTTAAAAGCCCTATTTTTCATTCTGATTTGGACATCAGTGTGGCGTCTACACCCACACACCTACTGCTTTCAAATCATGATGTGTTTGTACTGTATTCACAAAGTAATGACTGACACAGTGGTCCACTTAGTCAAACATTTAAGCAATCAAAGTACAAAACACAACAAACCCATTTGGTGCACAGGGCTCGACACGTAGAAGTCAAGGGTGTTTTAAAAGGTTTAAGCGGTTGTTAAAATAATGATGGTTTTATGAAACACTGGTGGACCATCTTTTGTTAATTTAAAGCTAAATGCCCTCACATCTACTAACTGCAAATGAGATCAATACACAAGCTGGTGCTGTAGAGTTTCTCTGGTAAACTGACATTAGTCAACTGCATTTCAGACAGCACTTTCAGAAAATGCATAAATTACACCCATTATGTATTCATATGTGGAATAATGTTAAACTGAGTGAGCAAGAAAAGTGCAATGCAGTCCATGTAGATAGATAGATAGATAGATAGATAGATAGATAGATAGATAGATAGATAGATAGATAGATAGATAGATAGATAGATAGATAGATAGATAGATAGATAGATAGATAGATAGATAGATAGATAGATAGATAGATCAAAGTGGCAGGTGTTGACCCAACACCTTATAAGAACATTTAATTTTATGCTATATCTGTATAAATATCTCTACAGACAAATATATAGATATGTCTGTACCTGTATAGATAGTTAAATATAGATATATAGGTGTACTGAGAAAGAGAGTGAGGGAGTGAGAGAGTCTTCCTAACCTCCAGGCCTCTGCTCTGCTTCTTCCCGTGGGACTCTGCGTGAGTGATGAGACGATGTGTAGCTTGGGAGAAGGTTTTGGTGGGATTTGGCCCAGGTCTTCGAGGGTACATCGTTTTTATTCTCTTGCCACCTCCTGGACAATGTGCAGCTGCAAAAACCAAATATAAACTATGGGGAAAATACATATATATATATATATATATAATCAAACTTCAAGTCAGTGCAAGTGATGAGTTGGCTTCAAAAACACACGCTATGATAGCTGAATAAAAACAAGCTTTAGACTATGCTTTTTCATATCTGCTTATTGGCATTTATCCACTGAACTGTGTATATATATCACCATATGTATTTAATTTAAAAAAAATACATCATCTACGGCAGTTTTTTCTGTATGCACTACATCACACTGCAGACAATCTATTTAAAAAATAAATACACAGCATATTTTTTTGTTGGTTCTGTGTAAAATACCTAAAACATTATTTTGTAGCTTGAAAAAATCACACTGAGTATTTGAAATAATATCAAATTAACCTAATATACTTTGAACCATTATCTAAGTTACCTTTGTTTGGTCATAGAAAACTGAAATTGCATGTGCAGAATTACCAGTTTTAGCCAATAAAACTAATTTTAAAAGCTCACTTACATTGTTGTGAAATTCTCTCATAGATTTAAATTCTGGATTCTTTGAGTGGCAGGCTTCTTTCTAATAACACTGGCTTGCATTTGTTTTCACTGGACTTGTCAGACTCTTTTTACCTTTATCTTCGTGAAGAAATATAACAATAGAAAAGGATACAGACTAAAATAAAGACTGAAAACTATATAGTGGATGCGAAGTAAACTGAATTTTCTCAGTTTTGCCGCTAGATGTCACCGATTGACCATCCAATATAGGCTGAGGTGCTACATGTTGTCACTATAATTCAAAGTGACGCTTTACTCAAAATCACACTTTGCATGTAAAATATGAAAAATTAAAAAAAAAAATTTAAATGTCAAAAAACGTTTAACATGCAAACAAAATGTGTTTAACTCTTATTCATGGGCTGCTATGCAAATCATTTTAATTAAACATATTTGCTCTGTGGATAT